GCCACGGAGACACTTCCTCCTCACCACCAGTTTTCCTGTCTGCTCTGCTGGTCCTGCCATGGGCCAGACTCTAATGGCGGAGCGTCCCGTGGCTTCTTGCTTAGACTCTCTGCTCTCCCTCTGCCCTCAGCCCCTGGGTTTTCTCACTGGCCCCTGATTTCTAAAGCAGTGTGGACAGGGTGATACTGTGCAGGTGTATGGCTCGAGCCTCGACCTCAGGCTTGCCTCTCAGCTGCAGCTGTACCTCTTCACGTGTGTCGTTCAGGGGTGTGAGGTGGCCTGTGTCCTAACGGAACCCGGGTTCCTCCCCTCCTGTCCCTCTTGCTTTCTTAGTCTTCCCCCTTTCGGCACCCTCGTTCCCACCCCAGTCCAACCAAAGACGCAGCAGGAACCCTCTTGTTTCCTTCATCCCCTTCGCCGCCTCCATGGGTAGGTCGTGCTGTACGAGGTCTGGCTTCCTTTGTCTCGCCCCACCTCTGCTCCCCTCTGCCTGCCCTGTCGGAGGAGCTTCCTGTCTAGTCTCATCCTGGCCTAGAGTTTGTCTCCACACAGCGGCCAGAGACGTTTTTAATGTTAAGTCAAATCATGTCACTCCTTTATTTTAAACCCTTCAGCAGCTCTCCATTGGAGGAGGTTTACCTGATAGACCACCCCCTGGCCCCAAACTCATCCTGAGCCACCACATCACCCACCCCCTTTCCCCCTGCCCACCACACCCCAGCCCTGCCAGCCTCCTTGTTCCTTCAGCATGCAACGAGGCTGGCTTTTTCCTGCTGAGGGCCTATGTTCTAGCCCTGCCAAGAGACCCCCTCCACAGGACCTTGCCCAGTTGGTGCTTTGTCATCATCAAGGCTTTCTTTCTTTCTTTTTTAATGTTTATTTCTTTTGTGAGCAAGAGACAGAAGAGACAGAGAGATAGACACCCCCAGGGTCTTCACCCCACAGTCTATCCCCAGCCAGTCCCACATCATGGGCCTACATGCCCTGTGTACTCAGGGAGGTGTGCAGACAGAAATCCAGAACCTTCCTGCCTGGTCAACCTGGCAGAATGTCCCACTTACCACTGCACCACTGTGAGACGTCCCCCCAACCCCGTAGCCTGTGACTCATTGGTTCTCCATGGAGGCCGAGGATATGTGGCAGACACCTGAGGTTGTCAAACCAGGCAGGTGGTACTGGCACCTAGTGGGCAGAGGTCAGGGTGCACTCAGCATCTTGTGTAGGGCAGGCACCCACGAAGAACCGACCAGCCCAGGTTGTTGGGGTGCTGGGATCGAGGGCCTGGCTGCGTCTCTCCTGAGCCCTGTGTTGCCCTTAGCTCTGGCCTAGCCGGAAGGCCCGCCTTTCCCAGCCTGAGCCTTCTTGCTAATGCCTGCCAGACAGCCCTTCCTCCCCTCCCACTCCCCACGGTTACCTCTTTGCAGCCTTGGAGCAGGTTAGTTTTGACCGTTACAAAACAGAAGTAATTATTTGGGCGGTTTTGAGTTTATAAACATAAGTTTCTACATCAAATTGGAATTAACTTCCACACACAGACATATAGTTATGTCTTTTCTTGGAAGAACGAGCTGTGTTTTCTGAAGACGACGGCGTGACTTCTGTTCATCCAGTCACGGGGAACAAACGGAGCATATTGATAAAAAGCACCGATGCACTCAGGCTCCATACCCATCACATTCAGCTTTCTCAGTTTTTAGATTGTATTTAGGATTTTACAATACATACTAATGACTTCATTTATTAGTTTTTCACATTTTTTGTCACATTAAAATATTTCCTTTTTTCCTCTTAGTGTTTAATAATACAAGTGGCTCTTTTACATTGAATCAAAAATGATGTACATGATCCTTTAAAAACCATGCAGCTTGGATAATTCATTTAGAAGAGACATAGGGAGAGTGCTTGCCGATTCATTTTGTAATATTTTAATACCATAACTAGGAAGCTGGTCTCTGTTGCTTTTTGAATTGGCATTCTACTTGCATACTCCTCGGAAAACCAAACCCCTGGCCCTGCTTTCGTGTCCTTCCCCGTATTTCAACAAAAGAAGGTATGTCCGTGCTCTAGAATTTGTAAAGACTCCCATGTGAGGATTACAAAGTTATATAAATTGCAGTATCTTTGAGCAATAGGATTACTTTGCTCAAAGCCCGGTAATTTGTTTTAAAACTACAATTTGCATTTTATGATTTTCAAATCACAAAGAAGACTTTTAAAATAATTGTGCTTAAATAATTCTCCCTTGCATGCTGGTGAGTTTATAGCCTACTTCGGATCAGCTTAGAATATTAATTAACACTGCCTTCATCACATCCCCTTTTCCCCTCAAATCAGGGTTTTCGTGTGCTGATTACTTTTTTAAAAAGCTTTACAAAGAGCAAAACATTTTAAATAACTTTTAAGGATAAAAATATTCTCTCTGCCATTGCATATTTGTACCACAGTGCTTCTAGCACTGTAGTTTTCTGTTTCGTTTTTTATTTTTATTTTTATTTTTTGCTCCTGTTTTTGTTTTTGTTTTGTGGTCTATTTTGATTTGGTAAGGTAGGTCTTGACTTTGAACATAGCTAGGAAACCTTTGTAACTTATCCAAGGCTTTCTTTGAAATGTATGCAATCAACCTTGCTAAGAAACCCCAAACAAGCACTAAGCACTTTACTGACCTCTGTTGTCAGAGCTCTACACCAGCCAGTGCTCTGTCCAGCTTCTCCATCTCTTCTAACTTTGAGCCCCGTCTCTGGCCTTACTTGATTCTGCAGTTCCTCGTTCTTTTCTACTACAAACATTTACTGAGTTGCTGTTCCTGTGCCTGCTGTGTTCTGCGGGGCTGGGAGAAATGAAAGGTGGTCTCTCTGCTGCCACAGGGCTGGCTCACATGGGAAGATTCTGGTCTGTGTCCAGAGACCTCCTTGATTTTGCCAGGTGCACATGTGCCCAAGATCCTGGGCTGGCAGAAGCTGGGGGTGGATGGCAGGTGCACACCCTGCTGTGGGTGCCTGTCTCTGTGTCTGTCTCTGCCTCTGGCTTATGGGAGAAATAAACTGTAAGAAAATCAAAATAAAAGGTGATCCTTCCCGGAATGACACAGTCGGAAGTATTTTACTGTGAGCGTGTGTGACAAATCCCATCGTGGAGAGAGGCACAAAGGACAGCGCTGACGTGGGGCTTGGACGCGTCAGTCCTGTGGGGGCTGACGAAGATGCTTGAGCAGATGGAACGTAGAAATAGCCACCCAGCAGGACGAGCAGGGCAGGAGCCAGTGAGAGTCGGGTGGAAGGGACGGAATGACCCAGTTGCCACCAGACTTGGTCCAGAGACTCGCTGGTCATCTTCATTTCCTGCTTCCTCCTTCCTAAGTGCTGTAACTGAAAGTATTAAGGTAAATCCTGCCATCGGTTATAACGCCATACTGCATGTTGATGAGATGGTTTGAGTTAGGTTTTCAGTTCAGAAGGAATAATGAGCCGCCTAAGATAGCAAGCCATTAGGGAGCTGTCTGGCTATATTTGGCTTCCTCGTCTTTGAGAAGACCTCAATCTGCTCTGGAGGTCACGTACATCTCTTCGTGTTTTTTAGTGCTCTCCTTACTGAATAGGAAGCTGCTTCATCTGGGGTATTTTTACTTGGGAGAATTGTTGGTTTGTTTTCACCCTAAAAATTGAATTAGTTGTGTCTAAGGGGGAAAACTGAAGAGGCCTCTGTCACAGAGATTGCTTTTCTGAAGAGGTTCAAACTCTAGAAAATTACTACAGAAAGAAGCCTTCCCCCTAAGAGTCTTTATGTCCTTGGATTTCATGCTCAAGGACACTTAGGTTGGAAGACAACTTGACTGGTCAAAGGACTCTACAGGAAGAGGGTGGGAGCAGGCATTAGGTTAAAACATTGCAATTTAAAACTAGGACGAGAGAAACAACAGCTATGAAAAACTGATCCTAGTAAAACATTTTAAAATGACCACCAGTGTGAAGATCATTCATGTGTCTGGTGCCTTCTGTGTGGCTCTGTCCCATCCAGATGGAGTGTCTGGTCCTTACTTGCATAGAAAGTGAGTCAGCGCGCCAGTAAGCTCCCCCATAAGGAAACGGGAGTGCTGAGAAATCTTCAGATGGCTGCACTTCTGTGAGTAAGTGAGAGAAAGAGCCATTATTTTACCAGAGCTTTTGTAGCTTACTGGATTTATGCACTTCCTCCATGTAAAGTTTACGCCTCCTCAGAAACCTGAAGGGAAGCAAGTTCCTGAGACTGCCGGGAGAAATGCGGTGGGTTAGTGGTACTGAAGCCTGCTCTACTAGCGAACTGTCATTTGATCTCACTACTTTTCAATTGTCTGACTTGTGCATTGGTTAAAACTTGCCATTTTAGGGACACTTAAGCAATATCTTCATTTCGATGAAGGACTGCATCTCATCTTTCTTTTTGAGAGGTCTTTTGTAATCAGGCCTCACAACCACAGGTTTTGCTTTGGCATGAGGAATCAGCACCCTCTCCCGGAGCTTTTAGTGGCAGAGAAGTGACAGTCGGCCCCTAGCTGTGGTCAGGCTGACTCCGGTGCTGGACTGGCTAAAGGCAGTGGAATCCTGGCCTGATAGGCGGCCCTCCAGCAGGACACGCCAGAAAACAGGAGCCCACGTCCTGCGATGCAGGCGGCTACTGGGACACACAGTGTTCCTCCCGGCGGGTTACAGCTCCGAAGGCTTAACCTTATTTTCATCGAGAGAGAAAAAACTTTAATAGAAAGTTTTACTTGGCATACATACTAAAATTAGAAAACTAATTCCAGGGATCTGGGTTGGCCTGTTATAGCTATGAAACATTAAAGAGAAAAGAGAATACATGTTTGTAAAACCAACTCCAGGATTCACTTGCTTGGAAAGAAGCTCTTTTACTGCCTTCGCAGAGGACTCCAAGGCCATTGCAGCCCCATGACTGGGGGCGGGTCTGCGCAGCCGCAGTAGGGGATGCGGGGGCGGGGCCTGGGCCAGGCCACGCAGCCGCAGTAGTGGCCCGTAGGCACGTTAGTCCATGGTCAACGTCCGCTCTCAGGGTCGCTCTCAGACAGTTCGATGGGCTTGCCTGACCCTCTCCATTCTCTTCCTCTTCCTCGTCAGTGAATGGCCATGAGCTGGGCAGTGGGAGTCTTGCGAGCCAGCCAGAGGGTGGGATCAGATTTCTTGCGCCCAAGGATGGCCGTGTGTCCCCATCAGGCGGCACGTACCCCACTCCGAGGGGCCTGGCTCTTCACCCCAGTCTCCAAGATGGCGACTGTGAAGAATGAGCTTATCAAGCATTTCACCTCGGAGGAGCCCGTTCATCACAACAAGATCTCCATTATAGGAGCGGGATCGGTCGGCATGGCCTGTGCTGTGAGCATATTGTTAAAGGGCTTGAGTGATGAACTCGCCTTGGTGGATGTTGACGAAGGCAAACTGAAGGGTGAGACGATGGATCTTCAGCACGGCAGCCCTTTCATGAAAATGCCGAATATTGTTTGCAGCAAAGATTACCTTGTCACTGCAAACTCCAACCTAGTCATTATCACAGCAGGTGCGCGCCAAGAAAAAGGAGAAACGCGCCTTAATTTAGTCCAGCGAAATGTGGCCATCTTTAAGTTAATGATTTCTGGCATTATCCAGTATAGCCCCCGCTGCAAACTGATTGTTGTTTCCAACCCAGTGGATATCTTAACCTATGTAGCCTGGAAGTTGAGTGCTTTCCCCAAAAACCGTGTTATAGGAAGTGGCTGTAATCTGGATACTGCTCGTTTCCGGTTCTTGATTGGGCAGAAGCTTGGTATCCACGCTGAAAGCTGCCATGGGTGGGTCCTTGGAGAGCATGGAGATTCAAGTGTTCCTGTATGGAGTGGGGTTAACATTGCTGGCATCCCTCTGCAGGATCTGAACTCGGACATAGGAACTGATAAAGATCCTGAGCGCTGGAATCATCTCCACAAAGAAGTGATCGCTAGTGCTTATGAGATTATTAAAATGAAAGGTTATACTAACTGGGCCATTGGCCTGTCTGTAGCTGATTTAACAGAAAGCATTCTGAAGGATCTTAGGAGAACACATCCGGTCTCCACCATAATCAAGGGCCTCTATGGGATAAATGAGGAAGTATTCCTCAGTGTTCCTTGTGTCCTGGGAGAGAATGGTATTACAGATCTTATAAAGATAAAGCTGGCTCCTGAAGAGGAGGCTCGTCTGAAAAAGAGTGCAAAAACACTGTGGGAAATTCAGAAGGAGCTCAAGCTTTAAAGTTGTTTATAGGTACCATTCCAAAGTTACTGAAGAGTGGATGTGGGATTGTATATATGAACTTGAATAAGCTGGAATTTTTAAAAGTTGCCAACAGGAAGTGTTCTTGGTGCCGCTGACATACAAGTATTAATACTCGCCTCATACATATGTATATATGCGGTTGCTATTTGGTCTAAAAAGAAGTAGATAGAGGTGTTTATTGTGTTCTAGAAATTCTGATATTTTTTCATTAGATACATGCTAAGTTATTCTGGCTGGCTTTATGTTTGTTTGTTTATATACCATGTTTTTGAAAGTTGTAACTTCCTCTACAACGTAAAAATAAAAATATGTCCCTCAGAAGTCCTTTTTGTACTGGCTTCATCTGGAGGCCGCTTTCATTAGCCTGGAATGGCCTGTCTGCTAGGCCATTATAAAAAGCTGTCATATAGGCCAGCTGGTGGCAAAGGCATCTGCATCCCACATGGCCAACTGTATGATTCAAGTCCCAGACCCAGCGGCTTAAAAAACACACTGGGTGTGTGTACATGCCCAAAATTCCAAAAGGAATGGAGGAGAAGGGATTGCAATGTGGTCATCCCCCGAGGGGGTGCTTTCTCACTTTCTCTTCATCTCTCTCTGGCAAGTCCATGTGCCACATAGTAATGGGGGCTGCAGCCACATGTAAGGTCATCTTGTGCACGCGCACACTATTGAAGCAGGATCGTTAGGTTAAGGTATAAAAATATCAGTGACCAAAGTGGCTGTATGAAATGTTCTTTGCAGCAGAGACTTGTAGACAGAGGTCTGACAGAGCTGTACAGTTAACGTCATTTATTTGACAAGGGAAAGAAGCATTCCTAAATTTGAAGTTACTAAAAGTAAAGCCTGATTGAGCGAAATCACTTCAGAGCTGCCACTGAGAACCTGACCTGTTAGCACATTAAATCACGAAGCCCTGAGACATTGTTCTTACTGGCTAGTCGTAGCAGCAGAATGGGCTGTAAAAGGCTCCCGGGTCATCTGTGGTTCAGTTTACTTCACATTCACATAAAACCTGTGCTTTTGAGTTGTGCCCAATTGTTCATCACTGTCGTAAAAATTGGCCATTTTAATGAGTACGTCAGGGGTTGTATTTCTCAGAAAGTTACGCATTTGCTTTTTACTCCTAATCAGTTGACTTCCCTAAGAATCCTGTCATCCAGTGAGGGTTTAGGAGAGAGTACTGGTGCTTGTCTGACCTCCACCTAAATGATAGTGCTGGTAAACTAGGAAACCGGAAGTGAGGTTTGAATTCACTTCAGCCTCCCTAATGTAACAGACAAATGCAACTGAACGTTCAAATAATATAGTATGTTCACTCTTCGTCCATGCGGATATCAACAGGCCTAGTCAAAGGTGAAAGACAGCAGCATTTGCTCTCTAAACTAAGCCAGTCCTGCTTAGTAGAATTTTATCAACTTAGGACTGTTCTGGTTGTAGGAAGCAGTGTCTCATACTGGGACCAACTGATGTGCTGAGCTCCCTGGAAGTGGGAAAGGTGTTGTTTGCATTGTTGTTGTTGTAAGAGAATTTTAGAGCTCAGCTATACAGAATTCCTGTTCCCTTTTATCTAACCTCTTGAGTTTTTATTCCAATGTGTTTTATCCAGATGTAGTATACTATGGTAGGGCATCGGCGGCGCATACCTTATATCTGTTTTATAATTCTTGTCACTAGGTCAGCCACGATAGCTTATGCTGCAGTAAAAACAATCTCCAAATCTGTGACTTAAATGAACAAGGTTTCTCACCCGTGTAAAGTCCGCTATGGGTTTAAGCAGCTCTCTGTGAAAGGTATCTTCATGTGCTGGCTCAGTATCCCAGGTTGCTTTGCTTGCGAGGCACTACCATGGCAAACGTGTTTCCATGCTTGTTATGGAAAGGAAAGAGAGGCCTAGAGAATTGAACCCCTGCAATTAGGTGCTCAGCCTAGAAGGAACACACATTTCTTTTGCTCACATTTCATTAGCCAGTACTAGTCACTTGGTCGCCTAATTTCAAGGAGGAGCTGAAGTATCTTTCACACCATTCCAAATAAAATGGTCGCCATTGGCCAGCCTTGGTGGTGCATTGGTAACGAAACGCTCCATGATGCCGAAGCCACATGAGAGAGTCCCAGGTTTGTGACCTGAGGTCTCCCTGTGCGTGCAGGGATGGATGTGTACGTGCCTGTAGTTCCGGTGGACCGGGGGTGGGGCGGATCGCAGGATGGAGACAGGGTTGCAGGTGCCATCTGTCTCCCAGTCTTTCTTTCTGTGTCTGTCTCTATAGAAGAAATATTTTAAACTAGTAATGGTCGCCATTGTGAGAGATATTTACTGCATTGTTTTAAAGTCATTTAGTGAAAGCTGGTACAAGTTATAGAGGTACTTTGTCTTTTTAGGTCACAGAACCAGAGTGATTGTGGGTAAAATCCTGGACATCAGGCAAGCGGTTGAACTTACGAGCCATGTCACCAGGGACGAGTTAACCTCTCTCACCTGTGGCTTCTCATAAATAGAGTGGAGGTCATAAGCTCTTCCACAGAGGATGGTGAAGATTAAATAATAGCAATGCTTTGCCTAGTGCCTGACATGTAAGTGATCCCAAGTGGCAGATATTATTCCTGTTCAAGTAACACTTTTACAACCTAACTCTACTTTTTAGCTCTTAGTATCAGTATTACACGTTCTTACCGTATTTTATGAAGAAGCTAAATTACTAGGCTTTTGAAAATTACCAAGATGTTACAACTACTGACATATCCAAAGGCTTTTCCGTTAGTAGATCCTGTAAAGCTTGTGTCATTGTCACTCCAGCACTAAGGGTGGCAACAGTCCTGCACCGACAATGAAGAAGTAGATGCTAAATGAGCTAGTCAGTGGCCAAAGCATTTCAATATTCAGAATTTTTTAATTCCATCAAGTGCCTATGTATTAGAATTGACGCTGTAAAAATTTTCTGAAACTAATTACATGGGGAGGGGGAGGCATAACATAAAACTTTTAAGCTTTTAGCACACTGTCAGAGCAAAGGTGCACCAAGACCTTGCGTACACATCTAGGCAGGGCACAGAGTAAGCACATCGGCTGTGCAACCAGCCCTGGGCTTACCAGCTGTGAAACCGAGTGCATTGCTTCATGTTGCTAAGCTTCTATCACTATCTTTAAAAGGGGGGGTGCCATTGGGACCAGCAGTTAGTGTAATGGCTATGTCGCTGGACTCCCACGTAGCCAACCGCGGTTCGCGTCCCAGACCCGGTGGCTTAAAACTCACACCGAGTGCGTGTGCATGCATGCCCAAGATCCCGAGAGTAGTACGGAGGAAAAGGGATTACGGCGTGGCCCTCTCCCCGGGGGGTGATATCTTGCTTTCTGTCTCTCTGTCTCTGTCTGGTGAGCACATACGCCCTATAGAAAAACCTCTCCAAAAAAAAAAGGGAGGGTCCCATTGTTTTGAGGGTTAAAAGGTAACTATGGCTGACACACAGAACTCTTAAGTGGCACTCCTAGCATACTGGCTAGATGCCCCTTCAGTAAGCTACTGAAATAGGAATTCGAGCACTCTTACTACAGGCATGATCTTGATTCTGTTCCAATATCTAAAAAGTCAATTGTACAGTCTTAGACTGTCCCTATTTGTGACAAACATCTGTAATACATTGCCCAGTAGTCATGACAATCCATTTGAGCACTGCTACCTTAGGCAGGGGCACTTTTTGATATTACAACTCAGCCCTGTTGGACACCAAACATTGGAATTGAAGGACAGTTGAGTCAGCCCTGTAGCCTAGTGGTTAAGGAAGTCAAATCCCACATGGCTGACCGTGATTTGAATCCCAGCTCCCTGTGGCCTGAAAAACATGCCAGGGCCAGCTCATGACCTAGTAGTTAAGGAAACTGGATCCCACATGGCCGACAGCAAGGTTTGAGTTTCATACCCATGCCCGAAATCCCAACAAGATAGAGAAATGGAGGAGGGATAGTGGTATGACCACTCTTCTTTAGAGGATGCTTTCTCCCCTCTCTATCTTTGGCAAAACTAAAAAAAAAAAAAAAAAAAAAAAAAAAAAATCATGGCAGGCGTGTGCACATGTGCATGTGTGACAAGATGGACAAATGGAGGAGAAAGGACTGTGGCGGGACCACGTTGTTAGGTGTGCCTTCTCTGTCACTCTGTCTCTGTCTCTCTGACAACTGCACACACCCTCTGACAGTTCAAAAAATAGAAAGGACAGTAGACCCATTGCACTAGGAAGTACCACTCACGCCCGAGGCCTGTGGAGAGCATCCCCACGAGTCGAGTAGGGCACAGCCTGCGTGTGTGGGAAGCCCTGTGATCACAATAGAGACGGAGAGGAGAGAGAACTGCGGGGAAGAGATCCTAGAGTTTGGCAAGGTTTCACCGTGAAAATGAGCTGCTACTTGAAGACTCTAGTGCCCAGCATGGCCCAGCTTCACCATAGTACTGGGTAGAGGGACAGGTCTGTGACACTAGCTGTGATCATCACCATGGAATTGAGCCTTCACCTTATAACCGAGTTAGCGTGACCGTACTCAATCCCTGAATCTCCTCAAGTGCATCCTTGGCTGGTCTGTTGGCCTGTGTGTGGTGCACCACTGCTGAGGCCGGTAGCTTTTGCAACCTACATGCCAGAAACTGATGTAAGTGAAAGAATGGGAAGGTTTTTGCTTATTATCCATGCAATAAAAGTAGTACAAGTTTAAAACTTTCTGTGGAGCCCCATTGTCTAAAGCAACTTGAGACTCTTCATAATTTAAATGTAGACCCTGGGTTTCTGTTTCCGGCTGTGAAGTTAGAAGGAATAAACGGTGTTTTCTGTGTCACTTTCCCCAGTTCCTTGCCTGTCTCTGCCTACTGGGCTATTTTTCCTACTCACATAGAACCCTAGGAACAAGAGAATAATACAATAGTTGGAAAATGGAAGAAAAGACAAAAATCAGACCAAGAGGAGGAAACGGGGACACGAGCCTGCTGAAGTAGAGCAGCCACCTGCCCTCCTAGCCTGGCCTGTGCGTTTCCCAGCCCCACCTTTCCTGGAGACTAGCCAAGTTCCCTCTCACTGGAAGGAGAATGGCGAGCGACTCTGCTCCTGTCTCGGCTCTCTGACACCCCAGCTCGTGCCCCTGTCCTTAGGCTGTGATGTAGCAGATGTTCAGCTGGAAAGCTGGAGGGAAGGACCTGGAACGCGCATTGCAAACCTGGCCTGGGAGAGACCTTTACACTAGGAAGGTCTGTGCAAAGTTCTCAGTGCAGCTTCTGTTGGTGTTTAGATAAGGCAGTTCTGTCCGTGGGCCATCCTGGGCAGCTAGCATCTTTGCCTTAATTGTCAGATGCAAATAGAAGTCCCCCAAGGTTATGGCAACCAGAAAACCCTCCACAGTTTCAGTCTCTCCCAGGGGTGCAGAACTGCCTCTACTTGAGAGTCTCTCATGAGACGTTCTTCGGGGACCAGCAGTTGGCGTAATGGCTATTTCTCTAGACTCCCATGTAGTTGACCGCAGTTTGAGTCCCAAACTGTTGAGACTCGGTGGCTTAAACTCATGCCGGGTACATGCATGCCCAAGATCCCAAGAGGAGAATGGAGGAGAGGGATTGCGGCGTGGCCATCCCCGCTGGGGGGTGATTTCTCGCTTTCTGCCTCTCTGTTTTCTCTCTTTCTGGTGAGCACAGGCACCTTATAGTAAAAACCTCTCAAAAAAAAATAATTAAAAAAGAAAAAAAGAAGTCCTTTACAGCACAACCTGGAGAGCCACAGAAAAGGGAGTGGGGAGAGACGTGTCCCGTGGGATGTGTCTGGGACCAGGACATTGTGGTGGTCGGCATAGAGCTATAGACGACCGTGACGGGTGGCCTTACTTACCTCCCAGTGTCAGAGTATTTAAACCACAACGATACATGACTACGAAGTTGGGGTTTTAACAGATGCACCACAGTGTTCATGTCCCTATGAGCTTTGTTCTTGGAGTGCAACACACTCATTTCGATAGTGCTGTAGCGACGACAGCTAAGCGGTGTAAACACTGTCACGGCCAGGCTTTGCACGCGTTGCCTCCCGATGCTCGCGCTGTCAGCAGGTACTTACTCCCGCCATTCTCCGCACGTGGGAACTGGACTTAGACGGGAAGCAGCTCTCCCAAGTGTGGAGCTCGGGTTTGAACAGAGCTCTGTGGTGCTGACAGCAGTGCTGTGATGACTAATGGCCTGGCAAGTCCCACACTAGGTGCACCCCCCCCACCCCAAATTTGCCAACACGGAGAAGGTTTAGCCTCAAATCGAAATAAATAAGCATCAACATAAAATACATCGGCCTACTTTCAGATGACCACTCTAAGAAACGACTCGCGTGTCCTGGATGAGTCCAGGTTTGTCACTAGCCCAGTCACGGAGCTCTGTGTCCTGGGAAGATGGCTGGGATATGGCTGATGACAAAGACTCTAACGCAGTGCTGTGGTGTTGCCTAGGCCACGTGGATTACAAAGAAGGACTGAGTGTGTAGCTAGTAGTCTGATGTGAAGACCACCAAGCTCCTCGTGAGTGTGCCCTTCCCTCTGGGGACGTCACCGGAGTACACCAGGGTGGGCTGCCACGGGAGCGACACTGCCTTAGCCCTCTCAGCTCTCGGATTCCACATCTGTCAGCATGGTCACGTGGGAACATTCTAGCTTATCTGTCACTCATTCATTGATTCATTCTTTATTAGACCTCTTCTAAGTTTTTTTCTCTACCCTTCCCTCTGGCTCTAAAATTTTAACTTCAGATGACCTAAGTATGGTTCGGTTGGTTCCAGGACTGCCTCACAGATACCAAAACCCATGGATGCTCAAGTTTCTTACATAAAAGGTAGAGTAATTGCATACAGCAATGCACGTCTTCCTACGTTCTTTAAATCATCTCTAGATTACTTCTAAAACGTAAGACAAGGTGAGTGCTTTGTAAATAGGGGTTATACTGTACTGATCAGGGAGTAATGACAGAAACAAACTGTGCATGTCCAGTATAGATGCAGCCAATTATTAAAAATATTTTCAATCTGGGGGCCAACAGGTAGCATAGTGGTTGGCCAACCGCAGTTCAAATCCCGGATCCAGAGGCTTGAAACTCATGCTGGGCATGTGTGCATGTGTGCCCAAAATTCAGAAAGGAAAATGGAGGAGAAAGGATTGCAGCCTGCATCCTCCCTGTGTGGGATGATTTCTCACTTTCTCTCTGTGTCTCCAGCAAGTGCACACACCCTATAGCAAAAATCTCTTATATATATGTGTATATATGTGTGTGTGTGTATGTGTGTGTGTATATATTCATTCATGAGGAGTGAAGGTTTTTGGGGGGGTAGTTGTTTTGTTTTTTAGATTTTTGCTATAGAGAGTATGTACGCACCAGAGAGGAAAAAAAGAGAAAATGAGAAATCATCTCCAATCCCCACGGTGCAGATGGCCATGTCGCAACCCCTTCTCTTCCATTCTCGTCTTGGGATTTGGGGCATGCACATGTGTCTGGCATTTTTTCCAAGCTGCCGTGTCCAGGACTTGAACCTTCAAGTCGGCCATGTGGGATCCTAGCCACCATGCCACCTGCTGGTCCCAAGGAGTGAAGTTATCCAGATAACGAATTCATACACAGAAGTGGTCCGTTTTCTTTCTTTTCGAGGTGGCTTGAACACAGTCCTTCCCTTTCACCTGTACCCATGAGCAATGAAGTGCCACCCTGTCAGCAAAGGCATATCTCTAGGCGTTTTGGTTCTTTGTTCTTTCTTTTAACATTTGATAACTGATTTCTTTTCTTCTTCTAGATGAAAGATCTTCGAAGTAAAATGCAATCGATATTTCCGGCAATTCCCAGGAACTCCGAGGCAGCTGTCGAGTGGGAGGAAGCACTGAAACCCAAATGAGATGTGCGCGGAGGATTGCAGAGCGATCACGCAGGAGGGCGGTTCGGACCCCGCGACTGCAGAGGGACTGGGGCTGGTTTTCCTGAGCATGTGCTCAGATCGGGAGGGAGCCCACAGGACGGGCAGCCCGCAGCATCTTCACTGGCTGACAGTCTGTGTGGGGTGTCAGGGGGTGAAGTTTCCCCAACATTAAGAGGACTATTTAAAAATCGTAATGACAGGGATAACTTTCCTGCGTGGAGGAGATCCTGGAGGAAATGCTCCTATTTGTGACTATCCAGTGGAAACAAGTTTTGTACCTGAACAGAAAACCTTAATGAGGGACCAGCAGGTGGCGTGGTGGTTAAGGCGCTGGACCCTCCCATGTGGCCAACCACGGTTCGAGTCCTGAACCTGGTAGCTTGCTTTCTCACTTTCCCTCTCTCTTTCTCTCTCTCCCTCTGTGTCTCTCTCTGGTCAAATTAAAATAAATGAATGAATAAATAAAATGAAATAATTCTTTTTTTTAAAAAAAAGAAAAGCTTAATGAAAGTATGATAGGAAATCTTAATAAACAGACCCCTAACAGCAGGAGTACCTGCTAAATGCAGTGGCTAAATGATGAGCTTCAAAGGCCTTCCTCGTCAGAATTTGGAAGACTTGTTTCTATTAGGCCTGAAAGTGGCCGGGGAGCAGGTTATACTCCAACACAGGGTCAGGGTCGCTAGTGGCTTAGACCTCTCTGGAGGTCCCTGTAAGCTGCTGTGGTCAAATCTCAGTCACACTTACCCCCCTCCTGTCCTCCCTGATCTCTTACAGAGAACAGGCGGAGAATAGCGTCTACATCGTTTTTTTACTGGAGATTAAAATGTGTTAAAGAAGAGAGATACTCGAGTATGCCAGCACTTCCAGAGAAATAACCTCTGGCTGAAGATCAGTTATACAATTTCTTTATAATTGCTTAGGTTCTAATTAGTCAGCAATCAGATTTAATAAAGTACATTTGCAAATTGTTATAATGAAACCTTTTAGTTGTAAGAGAAAATTTTAAATGAAATGTCAAGTGCATAATGTAGCATTTTTCTCTAGATCACATGACCCTGTTAAAATTGCTGTATTGTTAATTAAACAGGTGTAATCCGTGTCTGGGATTCACATGTAACCTGTTAAAAATTCAAGACTAAGAGGAAAGGATTGTGAAATTTATCACGGTATATGAAACAGCAAAACTCCTCACCCATCTTTCATTTTTAACTAAATCTCTGCTAAGAAAAAAATTCTAGCCTTTAAATGAAACAGGAAAGACAGGAGTCAAACCTAACGGGTGTTGTCCACAGTACAAGCCTCTGTTCCCCTTAATAGAAGGCCCTGCCTGCAGCTTTACAGAGAGAATGCGGGGTTTTATTTTTAGATGGAGAACAGCTATTGATTTTTAAAAGATCTCCACTGGTAGGAGAAAATGAAAATTTTTAGCTTATCTGGAGTGGTAAAATGAGAAATCATTTGCTGTGCTTCTATTTAGTGGATTCCTGCCTTCTAAGCTTCTGGAAGGTAGCTCCCCCTCACAGGGACTCATGGATCACAGACAGCACCTGTCACAGGGCTGCCCCACCCCGGGCAAGTGCAGGCAGCCCTCAGGAGGGAGCCAGGCCGTGGTGGGTGTGCCCTGTTCTCACCGGCCATGAGAGAGGCTGAGGGAGTAAATGCTGAAGGAGTGAATGTCTGAACGCCTGCTTGTGCCTGAGGTTTCCAAAACCCTTCCCTTAATGAGTGACCGTTGTCCCGGCCTGAATGGCAGTGACCACGAGTCACCTGCTGAGGGAAGACCAGGGTTAGATTCCCCAGAGTCGGTACCAAGCCTGGGCTCTGGTTGTGCGTTAAAAGTGAAAATGAAGTAACAAAGATGGAAATTTAAAAAGGAAGCAAGCATAGGACTAAAATGGTGTTTTTCTACAGTGAGAACTCAGATATCAGATTTCGTCATTATTCCTTTTAAACCAGAGGCATATTGTTAAGTTGGTTAATGGAAAGGAAAAATGTTGAACGGATAATGTTATTCTTTATGTGAAGTGCCATCTGTGTGTTGAGTTCTGAATGTTCCTGGACACGGAAGAGAGGAAATGTTACGGAATTTCAGGTTTGCCTTCTTTGCTGTCTTTATCTTGGGGAGAGTATGACAAACATAATCACATCTATCTCCTGGAGCATAAAGAGTTTTAATCACCCTATTAACCAGGATGACATTTTTCACAGACTTAAAAAGGAATAGAACAGACATTATCTCCCCATAAGCAATCCATTTCATGGAGGCTGAGCGCTAGAAATGCTTTAAAGGGTGGATAACACAAGCCGTTCCCGTTTCCCGTCTAAGCCCACGTTAAGGAGGCTCTCAGGAAGGATGCCGCTTCCACGGGTGAGTGTTGAGCTTTACACTTAGAATCTCAGAGCCCCAAAGAGCTGTTAGAGAAAGCAATGAGAAAACATGGCCAGCAGAGGGGCAGCCTCTGAAAGTCCGGATTCTTTCAGAAAAAGCCTGTGTCTGAGTTCGCTTAACGGATACGAGATTACAGCTAGAGAGGAGGAATACATGCTAGAGATGAATGTCTAACGACAACTTATTATAACTTTCAACAAAGCTAGTGGAAATATTCTGAATGTTCTCAACACAAACAGTGAATGTTTCAGATGAGAGCTAGAATTACCCGGATTTGATCAGTGTACGTGTTACACATGTATTAAAATCCATACCAGGGCCTGCTCCATGGCACAGTGGTAATGTGACACGCAAGAGAAGTGGATACCACAGGGGGACGATGGTTCAGATCCCTGGCTGGGTCAGCCCGAAACATGTCAAGCACACACATGAGTGCCCAAGATCCTGCTAGCTGCTTCTCGTAGCTTCTTTTTAAGGTTTTTCCCCCCCTTCAGGGCACATGTAGACATTTGCTGAAGAGAGAGAGAGACAGTGAGAGGGAAAGTGAGAAATCACCCCTTAAGGGGGATAGCCATGCCTCACTCCCTCCCTCATTTTCCTCCTGAGATCTTAGGCGCACACACACTCCTGGTGTGATTTTCAAGCCACTGAGTCTGGGACTTGAAACTACGGTCAACCATGTGGAGTCCAGTAACCACTATGCCATCTGCTGGCCCTTATATGTCTTGAAGGGAAATAATGTAGCACAAATGGGAATACATCAACTAGGTAAAATACAGTATCAGAGTACTGCTTTGGTTAAATATCGCATGAAAGTACTTTATTCGAGTTTCTCATGTTCATGCGAGGTGTTTCCCTTTCTGCCAAAAGTCCAGTGATACAGCAAGTGCGGGGGTCTTTATTGGTGGCACCGGGATTGTTATCAAAGGCTGTGAACTCGGGGCACGGCCAGGAGAACAGCGAGTAGCTTGCAGGCAGTGATGGGAGGCTCAGGTGCGCGGCTGGCAGTAACTCTGTCACTGGCAGATAACTCAGCCCTGGAGGACAGCAGAGTCTCAGTGACCGAGACGCACGCACAGTGTCAGCTTTTCTGCTCAGGTAGTAGCGAAGTGATTTAGGACTTTAATGTATATTCTGTAAGCCGGATCGGGTCCCTGGCCTCATTACCATTTGATGAGGCATGATCATTTACTTAAAAGAGAAGTAAAAAATAGTCAAGAGTATAAAAATGTAAGTAAAGATATAAGGGTCAAGGACATTTTTTTAAGAATTATTTTTATTTTATATTTATTTTTATTGTATTATTTTTAAATTTAACTGGAAAGAGGGAAAAATGAAAAAACTAGATCCAGGATTCAAACCATAGTCGGCCATGTGAGAGTCCAGCGCCTTACCCACCACACCACCTAAAAGGTATCCTTCATGAGCTCTCCTAAGCAGCTCAGTGAGGGAAAGTGAGAAGGCTGGCACATTCGGAACACGTATCGCTCATCTGAAAATGCTCCCAAAATTCATCTTCCTACCGCCCATGCCATTCCAGGCTTAGAGTGGTTTTCCAAGGCAGTAGCCTGACAGGTGACACTTCGTGTGGGGGACACAGCCACGAGGCCCCAGGCCTCGGACTCCAGCTCCCCATCATGTGTGCACTGCCGTAGGAGAAGAAGCTGGCAAACAGTCCCGCTGCGCCCTGGCAGCCCCTATGGAGCTGTGCCCACCCGCACGTCTGCCCTTTGCTCTGCCACACTGGGGGATGGGAATGTGGTTTTATTTTAGGGCTACTGGTTGTTTTCTCCCACTGTCCCTGCTGTCAGGTCTGGATCCCTCTGTTGCCTCTGAGCAAACCCCCGTCTGGAAATGTGGGAGGGGACAGTCACCAAGGGGTCACTGCAGCGCCACATCAGCCATACCCTTCCACCTCCTTTCAGTCCACACTGGCCATAGGGACTCAGAGCCTTACTTTAGTTGGGACAGCAGCCACAAAGCTATGAAACTCTAATAGGAGCTCTCGTAGGCGCTAAAGACTTGCCGAGAGAGATGACCACATGAGGAAGCCCTTCGCTCTCAGCTTGTGGGGCTGCCTCTGATTTTCTTTCCAGACAAATGACCACAGCAGAAAAACTGGATAAAACTCTTTCAAGCCTGCCAGCTCCAGGTACACTCTCGAGTTGGAGGTAAGACAGCACTTCCACCTGCCACGGCATGGCAATGACTGTTCACCAAATCAACTTGCACCCCAGTTTCCTCTGGGTCTTCCCAGATATCTCACATATAAACATGGCCCCCTAGGAATTGTCAAAATTTAACATCTCTGAGTTGGGAGTGTAGTCCATATTCTTCACAGGAGACATAGCTTTAACTGCTCGGTAAGTGTCACCAAATTAGCAGGGAGTGACGGGCTGGGTTAAAAATACAGGGCCAGGACCAGCACTTGGCGTAATGGCTATGTCGCTGGACTCCCACGCACCCGACTGTGGTTCAAGTCCTGCACCTGGTGACTTAAACTCATGCCAGGCACATGTGCATGTGTGCCCAAGATCCCGAGAGGAGCATGGAGGAGAAGGGATTGCAGCGTGGCCATCCCCCCTGGGCTGGGTGATTTCTCCGCTTTCTGTCTCTCTGTCTCTTTCTGTCTTTCTGGGGAGTGCACATGCCCTATAGAAAAACCTCAAACACACACACACACGGCCTCCTAGTGGGGCCAGCAGTTGGTGTGGTAGTTAAGACACTGACATGGGTGACCTTAATTTATGTCCCAGACCTGGTGGTTTGGCAGTCATGCTGGGTGCATGTGTGTGGTTGCGTGGCCATCTCCTCTGGGGGGTGATTTCTCACTTTCCCTTTCTCTCTGGCAAACACAAGTGCCCTATGGCCAAAACCTTAAAAACAAAACAAAAGAGGTCTGGTGAGACCTTAGAGCACAGAGAATGAAGAACAAAGCAGGAAGCAGGATTTGACAAAATACACTACCAGAGGGCAGCCTTCAGATG